CCTCCCGTCCTAGGGCCCCTGTTCCCCTGCACATCAGGGCCTGAAGCTTCCATTGAGGTAAATGTCCCTGGAGAGAGGATTTTTTTCCTCTCCTGTTTACTTTTCAGTATCAATGTCACCACATTTTCATTCCCAATTGCAAAATTTGGCTCCTGAAAAGCCATTGCCCAGTTGTGCGTAACCTCAAGCATCAGCCACATGGTACTCCTCAGAGGGCCCTGTTCCCACAGGTGTTATCTCACGTCTTTGCTTTAGATGATCCCACTTGAAAGGAGGTCCAAGCCTCCCTGTTTCCCCAGGGCTAACATCTGCTGGATATTAAGGGATACTTAAGCATGGACTAGGGTGGGACGCCCTGGATAGGTATCTCAGCTCCAGGCATGAAACCTCTCCTGTGCCATGTGCTCCCTGGGGCTTGGCATATTCCAGAGGGCAGTAGGGATTGGATTAGAATCAGGGGGAAAGATTTTTAAAAGATGCTCAAGCTCCACCCCTACAGATTCTAGAATTCAATTGATCTGGGGTGAGAGACACTAGCTTAGTGGAAAAGGCATTGCTCGACCCAGGGGCGTGTGACCACAGGCACTTCCTGTTTCTGGAGGTGAAAGGCAGAGGCAAAAAGCTCAGCACCTGCAGAGCAAGTCCTGTGGACGCGGCCAGTGTGGAAGAGGGAGTTTCAGGAGACGGGGAAAGAGCGCTGGGGCTAGAATTCCAGGCTGCTGTGGGGCAAGGAGCTCCGAGCTAGAGGGGAGGCAAGGCTAGGTCACACCCCAAGGCCGGGCCAGGCAGGAGTCAGGGCATACAGCAGCCAGGCAAAACAGGGGTCTGAAGTGTGGGCCGACAGCATCCCCAAAGGCTGGGCCCTAACGATCCAGACCATGGATTCAAGCTGGCAACTGCAAGTCACCTGGGTAAATGAGGGAAGGTCTGGCTGATTCCAAGTTCATGGGGGCTTTTTCCTGGATGGGTCCTCCGAGTCCTATAGCACAGTGGTTCTCGAACTTGAGCATGTATCAGAATCATCTGGAAGGTGGAGGGGGCATGGGGCATCTCGAGAGTTTAATAGGCTTGGGGGGTGGGGCCTGAGAATTTGCGTTCCTAAGACGGTCCCAGGTGACGCTGATAATGCTGGTCTGGGGACCACACTTGGAGAATCATAACTGTTAACACGCACTCTCTACCTTAGAATTTCGGGCGTCATTTGTATTTTGGCTGGAATTAGTCTGGAATTATTTTCTGCATGTCAGTCAGTCTCAGCCAGATTTTAATTCCTTTGGGGCAGGGATTGTATGTTTCATCTTTTCTTTCACACTAGTTAGTGTATTGTTGGACACATAGTAAATGAAATACTGGTATATTGAGAAGAACTTCAGGGAATTTGTTTTTTCCAAGCAGACAGGGATCAACTAAAGTTAATTTTGGGATTCCCACATTTTGCAAAAGAGCATCTAGTTTTTTTCTCATCATTCACATTTGCAGAGAAGAATCTTAAATGTGCTTCAGCCATCTCCCAATCTCATGAAAGAAAAGCTCTATTCTTGATTTAGGAAAAAAAAGAGTTCATTCCTTCATCCTTCCAAACAAGGTACAGTACAACTGAACAACAATACACATTACTGAAAAACACAACTGCGTTTTACACTGCTCACTACTCTTTAAATAAGTACAATTCAGACATTAAGGAAGAGAACTGCTAATCCCATTAATGCATTACAGAAATCAAAATTAACTTACCACACAAAATAAATTAAAACATTAAATATTAACCTTTTCAGTGCAACATATACAGAAGTCAGAGTAACAAGTTCTAAAAAAAAAAGCATCAGGTTTGTTATAATAAGATAATGAGAAGTTGAACACTTCAGTAAATTATTACAATAGGAAGAGGGGTTGAGTGTGCAGTACTACGTGTGTGCTTGCCACGAGATCTTTTAGAAAGCCTGGTAAAATCAGTGGCTCCAGAGAACAGGTCTTATGTTAGAACATTAAGAACAAACATGTGTGTTCATCTTGTTTCTGTGATGTCCCCCTTGGTCCTGGGCTTTTGAATCATCCCCTGCCCCCTCCTCAGCTGAGCAGGTTGGCAGGAATCAAAGCCCAGATCCTACTAAGGGGCTGGGGTCTCCTGAGCACTGTTCCTGCCAAAACTGCCTGGAAGAGTAGCCACAGCCAGCGGTTCTTATGCACCGAGGCAGCCCAGACCTGGGAAAGCTGAAGATACCAGACACTTTCTCCAATTGCACAGACCAGGCTCCCAGGAAGCTCTGGAAGCACACCTCCTCCCTCATCAATACGGATGGGGGAATGTCAATCCCGCAGTCTCCTTTCATGGCAGATAGACTCTGGGGACATCCTGCCCCCCTTCTCTTCTGGCACACAATAGCAAACTCATATCTTGCTTGGTCACATGTGTATCCAGATGTGTCTTCCAGATCAGGATTGGCCGCTGTCTCTCCTTTCATTAGCAGAAGACGTCTCCCACCAGTATGCTTAAAGAAGTCACAGCCTGTAGAGCAGAGGGAAAATCCAGGCCCCACAAAACATTTGGAAGCACCCCCTCCCTTTTTTTTTAAATGGGGGCTTTACATTTCTCCTGAGACAGACATTGGAAACGGCTGTGTTCCCCGCCCCCAGGTGTGTGTGGCCGCTTACCATGTCAGATCTTGGGAATGATTCCCTGATCGTAATGAACTTGGCTTTCTAAAAAGCAAGGAAACATGGGGAACCTATGGAGATGGATTAGGAGATGATTTTTAACCTGAAAAGGGGGCGTTTTTACAGGTAACCAATGCCAAAGAAGTACCAATGCCATTAATGGCATAGGAATCCAATGCTTGTTGGCCATCTGATTTCTAGGAGAGAAATCACTAAAGAAGCAAGGTTCTCACATCCTGGAGCATGGACAAAGGTCCAACCAGGCCTGCCTTGACCCCACCTCTGCTTCCAACTCCCTTCAGACCTGCTGGTTTACAGAGGACTGTTTTGAGAGGCACTTCTAGGATGGCACACATTTGAGCCCATTCACTGCATGGTTGTACAGGCACAAGAAAGGGGGCACCGGCAGCCGTGACTTGCTGGACTGGAGCATTCACAGACCCTAAATATGAGGTCCCCACAGGGAACAAAGAAGGTTCCCTCTGCTTCCATCCTTATATTCTCACCTCTGCAGAGGCTCTTGGACACCTGAAGACTGGACACTGATCCTTCCACTCAGTAGGTGAACAAAGCCCCACGAGACATTCTCAACATCAGTTCATACTCTTTAAAGGCAACCAGACCTCAAATAGCCTCTAAAAGACTGAGTCAAGATTGTCCTAAAGTAAAAATGTGATCTCAAGTTAAAAACAAGTGATGCTACTCCACTTTCATTAGTCTCTCCGAACCGGAATCAGACTTTCAGTAGAGCCTGATAAGAAAAGTGAGTGCAAACTGGGGTCCACAAACCAGTGTCAACTGCATTGGTCTCCTATGGTCAAGCCTCAGCCCACAGATCTGCTGCTGTAGGACCAGCCTAAGGAATGCAAACTTAGGCGTATTTTCTTTTATGACTAAAACCCGGGAGCTGTGGTCAGTTACACTGCTGGCGAACGGACCCCATTTCTGCTACGGGCGCTTTGGGCGCTGCATCATTCAATAAAAGTGCCAGAATTAAGACACGTGTCATATAATTGTCTCAACTGTAAGAAATACAGAGAAAATTCACTGAAGTAGACATACTGGGGCAGAAGAATTCGAGGAGGACAAAATGACCTGGTAGGAATTTCAAGCCAACTTGACATTATTTTAAAGGTCCCTTTCACGATGTGAGGCGCTACAGGCACTGAAGGGTTAATAGGTAGAAATCTTCCATTTTTCAAATATTAGGGAATAAGAGTTCCCTCACATATGGAGTCTACATATTATTTCATTGTTTTCCTGTTTCCAAATTTTAGTGACAATTCCTAGGGATGAGCAGTTGGAGGGAACTGGAATTTCCCACAGGCAGACCCACTGGGTTGGAAAGCACCCAGGAGAACAATTTCTCCTTCCCTGAGGGAAAAGTGAGACCCACACGGTGGAGATGGCTTGTTAGAATTTTTGTTAAAAAAAACCCAAAAAACAAAAAACGGCATCCTGGATGGAAAAGAAAAAAAAACGTCACCGGAATATTTCTCCTAATGCTTAAAAATAAATAGGAAAGTTCAATTTCTCCCTTTCAAAATAAAACATCAACTGAGTAGCAACATGGAATATAAGTGACTGGTCCCCCTTCAAGGATGCAGCCCCAAATGCCCACGGCCCTCTGCTAATGCTCTGTTTCTAAACAGATTCTCAGAGGGCCCACCAGACAGTATGTTTAATAACAGAGCGGGGTAGCCTGTGTTTCCCTCATGTAGAGGCACACACAGGCATTCTTCCTCTTCCTTGACAAGACGCCAGATCTCCACTGCTAGATTTGCTAACTTTTCAACAAGAGTGTATCCTGGGGCGTTTACTAGTTTTGTGTATTCAATGGCATGACCTCTGAACCCCAATCTTTGCTCCCATCAGCAACTCATCCTCTGCTTCCATCTCCACCTATCCTGGTGGTTTTTCCCAAGCTTTAGCTGTTCCAAAGAGACCAGACATTTCTAATCAGTCTAACTTTTTGGCCAGCAATACATACATCATTAATGCAGACGTCTGAAAGCGTTTTGCGCTTTTTACACTGACTTAAGAGATTAAAAATAACACCATCGTCCATCTAATAAATAAGAAGTTATCTCTGAGGGTGGCAACAGCTCGGGAAGGTCTTCAACATCATGTGTCTGTGGAAGATATCGGGCTGGTTGAGGGTTTTGTAGACAGAGGACAGACATGGCTCCTCTTATACTGGTGTCTTCACGTAGCAAAAAGCAGTTATGCTTTTTTCTACCTTCTTCCCCCATAAGCGGTAAGAAAAAAACTGTAACAACTAAAGGAATCTCCAGTGTCAGGCAGGATGGAGACTGTTGTGGGGAGATGGGCCCATTAAAAAAAGCACAGCCTGGCATCCGTGACTGGCAGAACACACCTACACACACCTGGACACAGATGCCAACGCACACAGCTCATTAGGTAAACAGGAGGTCCACCCCATGCCGTTCATTTCTGACCAGTCTTTAGACTGTGGTCCACTTATTTCTTCTCCAGGTCACACTGGATAACCCCAAGCAGACAGAGTTGTGGACAGAGTTTTGAATGAAGGCCCACACAAGACAAAAAGCCCACATAGGCGAGGGCAGGCAGAGTAGGAAAGGTCTGCTGGCCCGTCCCAGGCAGCCCTCGCCGTGCCGTCCTCAAGAAGTCCTTTCTTTCTCAGGCTGCCGCAGGCCATTTGGCAGAACTCCTCCTCTGGGCTCTTCAGACCACTGGAAGGAAGGAAAAACAGGTTAAGCTCCGCAGGCCAGACCCCAGCCAGGCTGGGAAAACTGGCTTGGGACAGAAACTTGGGGATGCACCAGCCAAAGTCACCAGGTTCTTTTGGGCGGACAAGTCCACCTTCTGCTGGTTAAACCTCAGGGGCAGAAGCTCCTGAAACTGTGCTTTCAGCGCCAAAGGAAACAAGAGAATGGGGATGCGTGCTGTCACGAGGGCCTTCATTCAACTGGAGGTGATTCAACCCTGTCTGCGGCCAGTTCCCTCATCAGGGGTTGCTTAGTGGGCAGCTCATGAGCTGGTTAGGGCTCTGGCAGCAGAATGGCTTCCCTCGAGGCTATATAAGAATGGACTCCCTGGGCTTCTCTGGTGGCGCAGTGGTTGAGAGTCCGCCGGCCGATGCAGGGGACACGGGTTCGTGCCCCGGTCCGGGAAGATTCCCACATGCCGCGGAGCGGCTGGGCCCGTGAGCCATGGCCCCTGAGCCTGCGGGTCCGGAGCCTGTGCTCCGCAGCGGGAGAGGGCACAACAGTGAGAGGCCCGCGTACCGCAAAAAAAAAAAAAAAAAAAAAAAAAAAAAAGAATGGACCCCCTTGTTGCTCAATGGGTGGGCCCTGACGGTATCCTCTGTGCCTGTCACGGGGAGGCAGCGTGTACCTATTCCCCAGCAGCTCCTGAGTCCAGCCCAGCCTGGACATCTTCCTGCTCTGGTCCCTCCCATGGTTCCTCTGGAGGTGGGAAGGTACTTGTTAACTCGAGGAGAGGGGCGTCAGCCTTGGTGGCCATCTCTGGAAGGTCGGATCCATCCCCAGGTTCAAAGCTAACATTCTCTCAAATGTGAGTAGGGAAGAAGTGACATTAACAAGAAATTTACTCTATCCTAAATGACTCTGCCGAGGTGCAGACCGATGGCACAAAATCTACTATAAGTTTTCTTAAAAAGGCATATGCAGTTTTCCTATTGGTGCTAAAAGACAAAACAAAAATATTTATCTTCATTAGCTCAATGGATGGTCCCCTGAGGTAGTGAAGGAGACGTGAGTGGGGCCTTCAGAGGACTTGGGTCTCATCCTAGCTCCCCCAGGGACTCAGGGAGGCACCCATGCAGGCCTTTAGCAGACTCAGTTTACCCACAACCTCCTCCTTAAGGCTATCGTGAGGATTAATGAATCAGCACCTTCCTAAATCAAAAGGGCTGCTCATGCACAATTACTATGGCTCTTGAGATGAAGACCAAGTGAATGGCGCTCCAGGGCCTTCAGTTCCCTCCAGGTCAGATCACCAGGAGGCCTAATGAACACCGCAGCGTTCCAGCTTCCCAGGCGCTTTTCTTCCTGTCTTCTCCATGCAACCGTGAGCTTCTGGAATGCTGACTGTGCTATGGCCATACCACTCTGAACGCGCCCAATCTCGTCTGGAATGCTGACTGTTTACTAGAGAAGAGGACACCCCCAGGTGGACGAGTGTGGGGTGATTGTCTCCTGATCCACTACATCTAAAAAGGAACTCTAAGTTTCTGACAGGCTTTGTGGGGCAACCCAGCGTTCCAGAAACTTGTTCATGTGAGAGTTTTCAGAGCCTGTCTGGATATATTTGCTATTTGACTCAAGGAGCCCTGAGCAAGGGATGCTCGGATGAGGGTTCCTGAGATGTGAGTTTGGTCTCATATCCAGATGTCCAATCTTTTTCGTGGATGTTGGAGAAAATATTCAAGCAACGATGGTAAACTGAATGAAGATCACAGGATTCTAAGAGTTTAGAGTCTTTCAAGACCTTCTATAGGCCAAATCTCTCATTTCACAGATGGGAAAGGGGAGATGATTTCTCAAGGGAAAGA